CTCTCTCTCCATCTCTCCCCCTCCGTCGTCTTCTCTCTCTGACTCCACAGCTTCAGGATCCAGATCTGATTTTTATTCTTTTTCTTCACAACGATTTGAGAATAAATATTTAAGAAGAAGAAGAAGATTAAAACGAGCAGCTGTGTCCTTTGAATCAAAGACACTGGAGATGTTTCTTTGCGTTTCTTTATATTTTTAATAAATTCACTGAAGAACAGTTTCACTTTGAAAACCTCAAACATTTGATTTTCAACATCATTTCATCTGAAAACAAGTTTATCTGCCCAACTTCAGAAAAATGCCCCAAAAATACTGGAAATCCCAAAGTTGCTTTTAGAAACAATATATTTACTTTTAGTTTCCTTCCTCTCACCCCTCTTCTTCCTCCTCCTCCTCCTCCTCTTCCTCCTCCTCCTCCTCCTCCTCCTTTTTCTCTTCCCCTCCCTCCCCTGGTCTCGTTGATGGCCGGTGTCCGGGGCTCTGCTCTGGACTTGGCCGGTGGTTTTGGGTTTGAATCCCACTGAGTGTCTGTGTCTCTCTGCTCTCGTCACTGGAGCCAGGAGCGAGAGGTGGGGGAGGGGGAGGAGGAGCAGGAGGTGCAGCCGGCTCGACGGAAGGATTCAACTTCTCCTCGTCCTTCAGGTTCCAACTTTCATCGCTGCAAAAAGACAGAAAGCTTCTTTAATTCATCAAACTCAAATAACCTGTTTTCTCTACTCCTGGTGCTCGTCTCCTTCTCTCACCTGTTTTGAACGTGGCGTGGAGGAGGCGTGTTCACAACGGTTGATGCCTCGTGTGCGTCGCCGGGTTTCTGCTCCTTCAGTTCGTCAGAGCCTCCTCCCGGCGTCTCCTCGCTCTCCTCGCTGGACTGAGGAGTAAGCTGTGGCTTGGGGGGTCTGCTGGCCCGGCGACAGGGGGGTCCGGGTCCGCCGCACTGCTGCGACGGCAGACTGTGGTTGAAGTGAGCGGCCGCCATACACTCTGCCGTGGTTTTGTCGCACACACACTGAAGTTTGTCACACACAGTGACGCCCTGACCTGAGGAGGAGACGACAAGAGTGTCGGCACTAGTTTGTCTGTGGTTCGTGGTTTGATCCCGTCGTTGCTCGAGTGGAACAAACACTCACATTGTGGCTTCCTGTTGTCACAGGAGACGCGAGCGTTGAGCTTCCTGTCCGACCTGCAGCCCATAGAGCCGATCTGCTTCAGGCAGCAGTGATGGAAGAAGCAACACCTGAAGAACACGGTTCACATGGTTTCAGTGCAGAGACACGTCAGAGACAGAGACACGTCAGAGAGACATCAGAGACAGAGACACGTCAGAGACAGAGACAC